CATTTTATTTAAGTGTATTTTTTACTAAAAGTTTGATAAAGAGTTGCGTTGATATCATGTGATGTGAAAATTTGCTACTGCCACCATTTTATTCTACAGGGTGCCTTCAGGAAATATGTAACTCTAGGAGGGGGGTGCGGGGGTTAAGCAATTTTCATACCTAAAAAGTTGATTATAACCTATGCAAAAAACGCCTTGGCAGCAAAAGGGTTAAGGGTGGGCTCTGGCCGGATGAATGCGGGTTGTAGTGCTACACCCAGATACATTGTGACTTTGTATCACAGTTTATGAGCCAACAAGCCATTCACCATCTCTTCCTGTGAACGATCAATCAGATGGCACACTGCTCAGTATTGATCTGCATCGATCCTGATTAGTGCAGTATCGGGTGTTAGGACAGTATAGAGCGCCCGTATGCTGCGCCCCATGATCTGGATACACATGCTCGGCCGATGCTGATCTCCAGGAACACGTGACGTGGGCTGTGCTCGCAGAGTGAGGATGATGGGTAGAATAGTTCCCGTGCTCCTCCTCCGATGAGTGAATGATTCATATAGAAGGGGATCACCTCTCTCCTCCGCTGTCTGTGACAGCTCAGCACACACACAACACTCAGGCCTGGGGCTCCGACATATCCGCACTGACATGACCGTCCCCGGGCTACCACAGCACTAGATCCAATGGGGAACCTCCTGAACGGGGTCAGCTTCAAGGAACCCACCACTGTGGAGGAGTGTGACTCCACCTGGGAGACGGACTCCGGGGGAGAAGAGGAACAGGGGGATGAGGATGACGAAGGCTTGGAGAGTGGAGCGGAGGAGCAGGGACCGGACAGCAGCCAGGTAACAGCGGCATGTCTCATGTACTTTATAAATCAGTGTAATATGTGATCATACTGTACATGTATGGGGGGGTGCTGATTGTACAACAAACTCCCCATCTCTTATCTTCTCATTCACCATCTCCCATCACTTTCCCTTTGTGTTCACTGTGCACATGGCTGGATCTCATCCATGTGTGTTTTCCAAAACATCAGCAAACATTCGTATGAATACCCAACATAGCTGTCCTAGACTTGTGTTTATATATAAGAACTGTCACTTCCTTCCTTGTTGTGACATAGCAAGTCTCTGCACTGGGGATACTCCTGTCACTAATGCCATAGGACACACTTGTAGACTGGGTGAACTATTCTAGAACAATATCACCTATTGTCCTCTATATGCACAGGAAAATATGGCAGGCTAGAAGCTGTGTTTATGCTTCTAGATTCTTTAAATCCTAGCATCAGTATGTGTTTATATGCGTTTACTTGTATTTACATGCATCTGGTACCAAATCCTAGCATCAATATGTGTTTATATGCGTTTACTTGGATTTACATGCATCTGGTACCAAATCCTAGCATCAGTATGTGTTTCCTAACATCAGTATGTGTTTATATGAGTTTACTTGTATTTACATGCATCTGGTACCAAATCCTAGCATCAATATGTGTTTATATGCGTTTACTTGGATTTACATGCATCTGGTACCAAATCCTAGCATCAGTATGTGTTTCCTAACATCAGTATGTGTTTATATGAGTTTACTTGTATTTACATGCATCTGGTACCAAATCCTAGCATCAGTATGTGTTTCCTAACATCAGTATGTGTTTATATGAGTTTACTTGTATTTACATGCATCTGGTACCACATCCTAGCATCAGTATGTGTTTATATGAGTTTACTTGTATTTACATGCATCTGGTACCAAATCCTAGCATCAATATGTGTTTATATGCGTTTACTTGGATTTACATGCATCTGGTACCAAATCCTAGCATTAGTATGTGTTTCCTAGCATCAGTATGTGTTTATATGTGTTTACTTGTATTTACATGCATATGGTACCAAATCCTAGCATCAGTATGTGTTTATATGAGTTTACTTGTATTTACATGCATCTGGTACCACATCCTAGCATCAGTATGTGTTTATATGGGTTTACATGTATTTATATGCATCTGGTACCAAATCCTAGCATCAGCATGTGTTTCCTAACATCAGTATGTGTTTATATGAGTTTACTTGTATTTACATGCATCTGGTACCAAATCCTAGCATTAGTATGTGTTTCCTAGCATCAGTATGTGTTTATATGAGTTTACTTGTATTTACATGCATCTGGTACAACATCCTAGCATCAGTATGTGTTTATATGTGTTTACTTGTATTTACATGCATCTGGTACCAAATCCTAGCATCAGTATGTGTTTATATGAGTTTACTTGTATTTACATGCATCTGGTACCACATCCTAGCATCAGTATGTGTTTATATGGGTTTACATGTATTTATATGCATCTGGTACCAAATCCTAGCATCAGCATGTGTTTCCTAACATCAGTATGTGTTTATATGAGTTTACTTGTATTTACATGCATCTGGTACAACATCCTAGCATCAGTATGTGTTTATATGTGTTTACTTGTATTTACATGCATCTGGTACCAAATCCTAGCATCAGTATGTGTTTATATGAGTTTACTTGTATTTACATGCATCTGGTACCAAATCCTAGCATCAGTATGTGTTTATATGGGTTTACATGTATTTATATGCATCTGGTACCAAATCCTTGCATCAGTATGTGTTTATATGAGTTTACATGCATCTGGTACCAAATCCTACCATCACTAGGTGTGTATATGAGTTTACATGCATCTTGTACCAAATCCTACCATCAGTAAGTGTGTGTTTGTATATAAGTTTACATGCATCTGGTACCAAATCCTACCATCAGTATGTGTTTATATGAGTTTACATGCATCTGGTACCAAATCCAACCATCAGTATGTGTTTATATGAGTTTATATGCATCTGGTACCAAATCCAACCATCAGTATGTGTTTATATGAGTTTAGATGCATCTGGTACCAAATCCTACCATCAGTAAGTGTGTGTGCATATAAGTTTATATGCATCTGGTACCAAATCCAACCATCAGTATGTGTTTATATGAGTTTACATGCATCTGGTACCAAATCCTACCATCAGTATGTGTTTACATGCATTTTGGTGCCTTTAGAAGTTCAAATTTCTAGATGCACTAGATAAACTGACCACAGATAAAAGCTTCTAGACACAAGGTGTGAATATACCAATTGGAATTCAGTGTGTGTGTTAGGGCTGCAACAACTAATCGACTTATATATATATATATCATTATAAAAGCTTTTTAAATGCATATAAAAACATCTAAATACATCTAGGTGTGTCTAGATGCAATTATATGCCTTTAAAAAAAAAACTTTTCTAAGCACATATATATGCATCTAATACATCTTTATAATCGCTCTATTCACACATTGGCAATGCATTTTAGATGCTTTTATCTGCAGTCAGTTTAGCTGCGTTTAGAAAAAATAGAAGTCGAGTGTATCTAGGAATCGATTTTAACTTCTAAACACACCAAAATGTATGTAAATTGCATTTAATGCTAGGAATCGGTACCAGATGCATGTAAACACATATGCATGTAAACACACACCATTTAACACATCTAGAAGCATAAACGCTGCATCTAGCCTGACATTTTTCTCTGCATATAGAGGACATAACACAAGTGTGAATGAAGTCTCAGTGTCAGTGTAAACATTGGAAGTCCCTTGTCACAGTAGTATTGTTTATATTTCAATGTCTCACAGTCATAGTTATTTTTTCCAACTGCAGTTCTCTTCAGTTGATTTATTGGACATGATACATGTAAAGTCAGATGAAGGCCAATAGGCATTGCTAAAGCTGCCCATATTCTGTGATATCACTCTCTTTTAGCCCAGTAGGGGAGAACGGGAGGAAACATTCATTTCCCCCATCCATGCTAAAGTGTATGGATGAAGGAATCTCCCTACTGACTATTGTGTACCCAAACAGTTACTGTCCTTGCAGTACAGGGGCAGCCACACTACAAGGGGAGGGTTTTTGTTTTCATGATAAACTTTATGGCTGGCAATACACTGCCCAAATTTCAGTGTGACTTAATTGGCATCCCTCCTTTTGACAAAAGTCAAAAGGTGCTGTGCTGTCATGTTCATGCTTTGGCTTCAGTTCTTTCTGAGTCATAGATCTGGAACACATATGTATGCTAGGTGCTGTGCTGTCATGTTCATGCTTTGGCTTCCGTTCTTTCACTAAACCAGAACAAGTGTTGATGTAGAAGTGTGATTTTTTTTATTTTTATTTTTCTCTTTAATTTGCTGCTTATTTGTTTCGGATCAGTAAATGTATTGAAGCCAGACACAGCCAGTGGGCTTGCATTTTCAGATGGAGGCCAGCAGCGGAAAATCATTTTATTTCTGTTCTGGCAGATATACTCTAAAGTATACAAATAATTTATATTGGCAGGAGCAAAACGAAACTCCACTCGAAGGAAATTTGTTGTCACCTGGAAGCCAACATTGCAAACCTTTCCGAAATTTTAGTTGCCTTGCTTTCATGCCAACCCTCTTGTTTCATTACATTCAGACACTAACCCAGAACAAGTACACTGATTCTAACTTTTTTGATCTGCATGTGTGTTCCAGGTCTGTAATTTATAAAGACAGAAAGAGATAAAGCAAAGAGGGTCACCATAACATCCAGTCAACTAGCATTTTTCAAAGGGGGGAAAGCAATGGCTATCCCTGTGTTTCCTTCGTATTAGGTTTACTTTAGGGCCCCATTCATACCTGTGCAGCTATTCCCAAGTAATCACACAGTCTGCAGATGATCACACCAGGATGTAAACAGTCTGTGGTCTTCCACAGGTAATAGCAGGCTGTGTGATTACACTGGAACTGCTGCGGGCAGTGGCAGCTGTCATTGTATTGTTCCCACCCATAGCAGATCAGAAGTCTCATAGAGGAATTCATGTGATCGGCCATAACCACAGGTATGGATCACACACACACACACACACACACACACACACACACACACACACACACACACACACGTAATATACATCACTTCCTGCATTCGGGGACTGAGAGGAGATCAAAGGGAGATCGTGTACCGACTCCCTTTGAGCTCCTGTCACAGAGCTGTGACGCTCCTGGCTGCATCAGGCACAGCGGATCTCGGGACCGGCAACGGCAGTGACAGCTGCTGGTAATACAAGTGTAGAGACGCCCGATCGCTTGAATTTAAAGGTGCCCATACACCTTATGATTATCGGACGATTTTCGTATGCGATCGACTTTTCGGCCAATAATCGTATGTGTGCATTGCAGTGTCCGACCGACAGTACTGTACAATCGTACGACTTTTAAAGGTCAAGCATGTTTGAAAACTTTGCTAGATCGTACGATTTTCGCTAGGTTGCTGGCGTTTCCATCCGTCAAAAATCGTACGATTTACACTGCGCTTGCGCTAACGAAAATACGGCAAATCAATTACCGCATTTAGTCCAAGTGCTTTTCGTTAATTACAGCTAAATTAATCTTGCGATCATCTGGGCAGGATGGGGCTGCCTTACGAAAATCATACGACTATTCGATCGTGGGACGAAAGGTTTCGTCCGATAATCGTAAGGTTTATGGGCACCTTAAAGCGGCCGGCCGTGTAATTACAACGGCCGGCCGGGAAGCTGCTCGTCGGGCTCCACCGTCCTCTCATCACAGACGAGAGGACGAGTGGATTTTTCAAGCCCTGTGTATATGTATGTATATTACACACACACACACCCTATGCCAAACAAGTAACATTAATTTTACGTATCAATATGTTTTTAGAAAATGGCAAATCCTGTTGCCGTTCACTAGCTATGAAAGTGATTTTATTCATATTCCTGTACTGCTTACTTTCTCAGTCACTGGTGT